AAGGATAAAAAATATTTAAAAATAATAACGATGGTTTTTGAACAATTTGAAACTATGTAAAAAAAATATTTTGAAAAAAGTCAATACTTTTTTAAATAATGAGTGTTGTTTGATAAATCAATTTCGTGTTCGTCTGGTTGAATAGCAGACATTTCAAACGAAAAAATTCTCCAACTTCGTGTGATTCTAGGAAAGATAATCTAAACGTCAACGATAAATACTTGCCTATTTCATTATTCAAGATATAGTCAGAAACCAAGCCTAATTATTGTATTTTTCTCCACCAAAATTGGCCGAGATGAAATCTACAACCTCTTATTAAGGTTTTTGGCCATATTCTATTAACGGCATTGTGTATTGCTAATGCCTTTTCAAAATCCACGTAAATTATTTTTGGAGTAAATGTAGGATTTATTTTTGTTATTTCATGATTAATTGCTTTAAATRCTTCAAAATAACTCAGTGTTTGCTTATCTTTTAATAAAAAAAAATACAAGTGTAATATAAAAACATTAAAAACCATTATGTAATCCATGAATTGTGAATAACTGACAGAAAAATTTAGTACCTATAATAATCAAAAGTTCCATCTACGTAAAATACACTTATTTTACTAAAAAAGCTGAAAGAATTTCCCAAAAAGGTTATGATTAATTTAACACACATATACAATGCCATACTGCGTACAGAATACGTTCCTAAACAATGGAAACGAGCTCAAGTAATCATGCTACTTAAACCAGGGAAACCCCCAAAACACGTAACTTCATACAGACCAATATCGCTTCTTCCGAGCTTATCAAAATTATTTGAAAAACTGCTTTTAAAGTGATTAAAACCAATAGTAGAAGCAAGACGGCTTATTCCTGAACACCAGTTCGGATTTTGGAATTAACACTCAACTATTGAACTGGTTCATCGTGTCACAAATGTGATAAACAGTGAACTAGAGGAAAAAAAATATTGCTGYGGAGTATTCCTTGATGTTGCGCAAGCTTTTGATAAAGTTTGGCACAGAGGATTACATATTAAGCTACGTGAACAGCTGCCACACACTTGGTGCGCACTCATTGAATCCTATCTGACTGAACGTTAGTTCAGAGTCTTACACGATGAAGCATTAACTGACTGGAAAAACATATCAGCTGGAGTACCACAAGGCAGTGTCCTCGGACCTCTTTTGTATTTACTTTACACAGCTGACATTCTAACTACCAACTACTCAATGACAGCTATATTTGCCGATGATACAGCAATACTGGCAACTGAAGAAGACCAGCAGACTTCGACTGATCAACTTCAACGAACACTTAACAACGTCACCGTTTGGACTAAGCGTTGGAAAACTCAAAATTAACAGTGACAAATCGGTACACGTAAATTATACTT